AATCAGACGACGTACTGTTGAAGCCGAATTGTTTTCTCGACGCCCTGCAAAGAAACCGCTGATTTCACTAAAGAACCAGAAGAAAAGACTCCTATTTGCTACATCTCATATTGACTGGAATGTGCAGAAATGGCGAACGGTCCTGTTCAGTGATGAATCGAAGTTCAACATCATTGGGAGCGATGGCATTTGTCGTGTGTCGACCGGCCGGAAAACGCCTCGATTTACCTTATTGCCATAAGACCGTGAAACACGGTGAAGGCAATGTAATGGTCTGGGGGTGCTTTTCTGCTAACGGTCTAGATCCAATACATCGAAACGATTAAATAATGGACCGTTTTATGTATAAAAATATCCTAAAAGATGTTATGTCACCTCATGCTGAATGAAATATGCCAATAAAATGGGTTTTTCAGCAGGACAACGATCCGAAACACACTTCAAAAGTAGTCAAGCAGTGATTTCAAGAAAACCATCTATTGGTGATGGATTGGCCGCCTAAATCTCCGGATCCCATCTCTATCGAGAACCTGTGGGAGATCGTCAACCGCAGAATTATTCGTGAAGGTGTTCGTAATAAGAATCAACTGTTTGAACAAATCCAAAAGGCCTGGGCAGCGACTCCACAAAGTTTCATTGATCACCTGATCGAATCTATGCCTCAAAGATGCAAGGCTGTGATCGACAACAAAGGATTCGCTACGAAACATTGATAGCGAAATACAGCTTGGTCAACATTTTGTGGAGTTGCACTTGTTTTGTCCAGAAGGAAATCAACTTTTTTTAATACTTTTGATTAATTTATTAATTTTCGTGTACAAATAATGAACTTTGTGATGAATAAAACTTAAAGAACGTTGTCTCTAAACAGTTACATAGTTATTTTTCTAAATTGAAAAAATGCAGCTCTTTTATATAAAGAAACTGAATTAGCATTATTTGGTTGCACTTGTTTTGTCCGATACTGTATGGGCAAATTCGATACATAATAATAATGGTTTGACTAATTTTTGATAATATGATCATCTACAATAACATCTAAAAACTTTATAGTATCTTGTTTTTAATTTGTTTATAATTGTAGTTAATTAAATTGTTTATAATTCATAATAAGTTTTGGCAGTTTTAGAGGAAGGGGTTTTTCTTGTGTTTTTTTTTATGAAACAAATTTTATTGTGTTTTTTCAACGTTAAGAGAAAGTTTATTTGACCTGAACCAATTATTTACTTTTTCTAATTCAATGTTCAAGTTAGATTAATATTGCTATTGGATAAAAATAGATTTGTATCGTCTGCAAACATGATATAATTTAGGTTTTACAGATGATTGTTAAAATCATTAACGTAAATTAAAAATAAAAGCTGTCCTTGGATCGATCTTTGAGGCACTCCACACAAAATATTCAGTATTCCTGATTTCATGTTATGAGCATATTGTTTTCTGTTAGATAAATAATTTTTTATCCAATTATATAATATTGGATACCCAGAACCGTTTTATTTTTTTAACAGTGTCGAATGCCTTAGATAAATCTATGGATACTTGGAGGGTAAACTTATCATTTTCAAAACATCAGTTATTTGGTTGAATTCAATTATGGCATGTTGAGTCAAATATTTTTTTCTGAAATCCAGGTTATTTTGAATTAATTTTTTTTTTTTTTTTGTAAAATTATCAAACATTCAATTATAAACTAAACGTTCGAAGATTTTTGAGAAAACAGAAAGTACCGATATGGGTCTAGTTAGATGTCGGCGCGATCATTATTTTTATAAATTTATTATTGATAAGCTTGTTCCAATTGAAGAAAAAAAAATATTACATTTAAAAGCAATTTTATTTGGATCATTAAATAATTTATTTTTAGTTTTTATTGCGTTTGGTACTGATATTGTAGTTATTCTTTTTCTTCAAGCTAAAACCGCTTTGAATTAACCGTAGCGTAGAGATCAATCCCACCTCTGGGCAAGTTTTATACATTGGTAAGGAAGGAGGCTTAACTGAAATTATTAACTATTTTTTTTTTGAATAATAATATTCAACTTCATCTGTGATCTACAGGATTTTTTTGTTGTTGACATAGGGAAAAAGGTTTGTAGCGTACATACCCATATAAATATCATGCTTTTTTTTTACTTAATAATAATTTTTTAGGGCTTGAAAATGGGTCTTTTAGTGCCAATAACCACTCGTATCACCCTAATCCCGGCTGCAAGCTCATTTTTACGATAATGCACTTAAGATGAATTTGAATTTGATTTTATTTAGAATCAATAAATTTACAATCAAAAATAATTTATTTATGTTTTTACAAAATTTAATAATATTGTAAATTAGTTAATCATTAATTATAAAGTATACTGACGAAGAGATGCAACACCAGGCATCTCTATACTAACTGATGTGTATCGCAAATTGTTGATGAGACAAGTTGTCCATCATGATAGGAAACTTTTGAATAAGTTGACCGTGTGACTGTCAATTGCTTCCTGTGGTAGCATATTCAAGAACGGTGTGACACGATTAGTAAAAAAGTGATGCCGCTCTTCGCAGTCGCTAACAAATTGTCTGTTTATTATGACTTCTCTAGCTATATGTGTTGTAAAAGAACCTTTTAGTAACAAAAAAATTAACATCATCAATTTTATTCACAATTTTAAACTGTTCAATAAGATCTCCTCTAACTCTTCTCTCTTCCAGTGTAGTCAATCTAAATATATTTAAGCGTTGTTCATATGGAAGATGTTTGATTGAGGAAACTTTTTTTACTCTTCGCTGAACTCTTTCAAGCATATTGATATTTTTTTTTGAGGTGAGGAGACCATGCTTGAATAGCGAATTGCAGGTGTGGTCGCACATATGTGATGTAAAGCGTTCGCCAGAGACGAATGCTTCTGCTTCAGAATGCTTCTTTGAGTAGGCCCAATTTGTAATTGGCTACTGAGACTGCAGATTCCACTTGGGCACGAACTTTGAGGTCATTTGATATCAGAACACCTAGGTCTCGTTCAGTTTAAGTTTCCTCCAAGTATTGACGAGTGCCTTCTGTGTTTGTCATTGAAAAGACTTGATTAGATTTTCTGTTACCTTGACCGACATGCATTGTTTTGCATTTTTCCACATTAAAGAACATCAACCATTTATGAGACAAGTTTATGGCATGATCAATGTCTGATTTTAAAACTAGCATATCTCATTCAATTTTATGATGTTCATGATCTTACTATCATCTGCGTAGAGTTTAAACTAGCTCGTATCGTTCAGAACAAATTTACCCGTGATTAGAGCGTGAGATTGTCCCATTCGAGTGTCCCCGAATGAGTCTTTTTCTTTTATTTCTATGAAGATCTGGCTTGTTTGTTATTACTAGGTCGAAAGTACTGTTTCGGCTCTGAAAATCTGATGTTACGATATGTTTTGAAGGTGATCAATTGTGTGAGTGAACATTCGTTTAAGCAATCTTGAAATCTCATGTCGCCTGGTCGTTCATTAAGCACGTGTGCTGTTGTCGCCACGCCGCCGCCAATCTCAATATACTTATAAAATGTGTTGCTAAAATTAAAGTCACCATAGATCAGAATGAAACCACACTCTGACCTTTGAGCGACAGCTTTCAAAGCTTTGATAGATGTCACACAGTTTTTGAGAGTTTCGTCATTTAGGTCGTGAAGTCGATATATACATCCGAGAAGAATTGAGTTTAGCCAAGCCTAATAACGCGCCACATTTGTTTAATAGAGTCTGAGTTCACTTGTGCAAAATTGGTTTCTAATGTAGTTACTTCTTGTTGTATATAAATGGCCACGCCACCTCTTTTTCCGTCTCTATCTCTTCGATGAATTTGATAGCCTGGTAAAACCGTGTCACTCGTTCTGTTGTACTAAGTTTCGGTGAAGAATAGAATGTGTGGAGTATTTTTAACGTCTAAGTTGTGTAAACAAGGTACGGCTTCGTTGCGTTTCTTTTTATTTAACGAGCATGGATTGCCCAAAAGCGGAGATTTACAGGAGACAGATTATTTTTATTTATTACAGGAATGGTGGGTGTTTTTTGGGTGTTTTTTTTTAGGCGGACGAGTTCTCTTGAGTGTTACTTGTTGTAGCTGCTGTATTGCTTCGTCGATATTCGTTGAGAGCTATCGTTGCTGAGGCAAACACATATTTCTTTTGCTCGTTTAACTTTGTGACATCAATACGGCAAATTTGACCAGTTCTTTTGTGAATGACATTCCGAAACGGTTTGACGAGATTCCCAGCATCTTTCAATTCTTTGTTTTTCTTTTTAAGTCTAGCTCGAGTATCGTTGAACGCTTCTTGCTAAGCTGGAGTCCTGTCTTCTCGTGCAAAAACTCCGTTAAGTTGTTAATAGATAAATTGTTAATAGATAAATAAAGCTTTTGGAAAGTCCGTTAAATCTCCGTTAAATTGTAAAATTCCGTTAAATCTCCGTTAAGTTGTTAAAGTCTGTTAAATTGTTAATAGATAAATAAAACTTCTTGGAAAATCAAAAAATTTTTTTTTTTTAGATTATGTATTGCTTGTTCTCAGTAATTGTTGAATAAAACTATTTTTTATGCTTTACTTTGTTTTGCTAAAACTTTAATAAATAGTTATTAACAATCAGGTTACGAATTATGGAATGTAATTCATACCCGGTTAATATATTTTTAACCGAGTATAAACAAATTAATATCCGAAATAACTTTTGTAATCTGAAATGTGGTTTTTACCTTCGTTTTTGTTGGTTACCTCGATTTCAGAGTTAAAAAAAATAGACGGGGGAAGCACACTATTTGCAATCGTAATTCTTTTTATTTTTAATTATAAACTAAAGTAATAAACAAACAAGTAAAAATCAATTTTTAACGTAGTCTTAATAATTATAACTTAAATTTGTGTTTATATTTTAGAAAGAATTTGAAAAATGTAAATTTTTATTTATAAAAAATGTTTTTCCTTCCTGGCAATATTAAAAGCATGTTTTAACATCTACAAACGATGTTCTTTCTCCATAGACCGTGCTTGGGTCGCCCGCTTATATCTCTTTCATCTCAGCACTAAAGGCAACAATATATTTATAGTGTATGAATAAATATTAAAATATGGTTGGAACTGGTGCGAATCGCATGCCTCTGACCAAAGTACACCCTATTCTCTTAGGTCAGCAAAAAAGTTCTTCAAATGGTAGTAGTCTTCTTTCTCAATATCGACAGCAACATCAAGAACGTCGCCAACAAGCAAGCTCGCCATCCTCTCCTCAACAAGTAATTTATTACAATAATTTTTAACATTTTTTAAAGTAATATTTACTCAATGATTTTTTGTTGCATTGTCTTTTTTTGTCATATTAAAACAATTTAAGTTAACATGTTAACTATGTTATATTTACCTGGTGAGACCAACTAGGTAGCTAATATAAAATAACTTGTTACATGAAATAATTTCATTATAAGAGTTTAAAAAATTTTAATAGTTAAATGTAACTTCAGTTTTGAATAACTGTTTTTATCATATTTTTTTATTGATAGCTACAAATATTTTTTATTGTTTTAACTTAATTGACATCAAACCTGTCATTTTTTAACATTTGTTAAATATTTTTCTTTTATACAATAGATATTATATTCTACTTTTTCTCTCAGGGTATGATACAGCAGAAATTTTTATGTTAATTAAATTTAAAATCATAACAATGTCTAAAAAATCAATTCAAAGTTCTGTAATATGGCATTCTACAAATTTTTCTGTCAGTAAGTTACAGCTGAAAAATTGGCAGTCGTGTATTTCAGGCACCCCCCTTTAGTAAGTCCCTAAAAAACGCTTATATGAAATGAGTATTGTGGAAAACCATACCCTAACCAAATCCCAACCTTGAAACTTAGGGTTAGGCTTAGGGTTTGGTTTGAGCATGGCTTTCAATAAAATAAACTTTATTTTCGGGTTCAGGGTTAGAGTACAATTTTCAATAAATGTTATGTGTAAAATTTTACTTGTTTTTTATGGACTTTCTGAAGGGGGTGCCTGAAATAGAATCATAACAGCATGTCTAATAATCGATAATATGACATTAAAGTTTAAAAAAATTTAACAGCTTTTTAAAAACTAAATTTAACATTTATTTTTGTCTATTTTTTTTTTGATTTTTCCTTGTTTATTATTTAAAGTTTAGGCCAACAGGGCATCAAGAATTTAATCAGCAGCATGATCTACCTTCACAGCAGCGTAATGATTTTGCTCCTCCTTATGGGCAGCATCAATTTTCATCTAACAATTTTCAGCAAACAACTCAATCTCAATTTAATTTTAAAAATTATAACCAACCTCCAATGAACAATGGTAATACTACCAATACTACTGAAGGAGGTATTTTAATATCTTTAAATTTTATATTTATTTAATATGATTTTCTTTCCAGAAATAAACTAAGAATCTTTAACTTAAAACTCTTTAACTCTTTTGCAAATTTTTGGATGTTTTTTAAAATTAATTTGTGTGGGTATTTAAAATATTAAAATATAAGTTTCAAAACATTAATCAAGGTAGAACTTGCTTCGTGCTTATATACTTATACTCAAACAGCAATGTTGAAAAATAACTGAATTTGTTTATAATAAATATGTAAATTCAATTCCCACTAAGTTTTCTAGCATTAGGCTTGTTAAATATATTCTATGTATTGAATTTAAAATATTAAAAATTGGCCACATTTTTACATAACATTCTAGAATTTATCCGCATTACATGTTTGTGATCACAAACTTTCTGGGATGTTTATAAGAAAAATTTTTCAGAATTTCAAAAAAATTAGAAATTTATGATTAAATTTTATTTAATAGAAACTATTCATCATTTTATATATTATTGGATTTCTGTATTTATATATTAATGTTGCGGGTCAAATTTCAATGTTTTTATAAGTTCTAATTTCTAAAACAAGAAAAACTTTAAATTTCAAATAAATGATTTAGTTAAATTAAACCAGCAATGTATCCAGACCGATTTTGATACCGGTATACTGTTATGGGCCCCCGAGTTACTGCCTAAATCAATTTAAAGCAATTATATATTAGCACCAAGTTTGTCATAAAAAAAAAATAAACAAAACAATTCTTTATAACTTATTGTCCTACTGTTTTGTGATGAAGTTTGTTATGATAATTACAAAATTGTTATCAATGTTGTTTAGAAAATAGCAACATTTGAATAACGACATTTAAAACAGATGTGATAATATGTATATATAGAGAGAGAGATCACTTTCAGATTGATTATAAACAAAGTGCATTTTTTTACTTTTTTTTATGTAACATAGTTTTCAAGTTTACCTCAGAAAGACAGATGACCCTATGTTTTTATAAAATAGTATAACCTTATGTTTAGAATAATAATAGAAAGACCCTATGTTTTTATAAAATAGTATAACCGCTATATATATATATATATATATATATATATATATATATATATATATATATATATATATATATATATATATATATATATATGCTGATTTGTTTACTTAAAGTTACAATAAATAAAATAACAAATAGCAAACAAGCTGTGATACACATTACAGTGTATAGAGTCTAACAACAGTAGATGTCACACCGTAACAGTTTTAAACAGACTGTCACATTAAACTAAAGCTTTTTCATTTCAAATAACAGCTAAATTGCATAAAAGTATTTAAAATAATAAAACATAATAACATTATAATAATCACACCAAAAAACTTGGATTTGAAAAGTAAGAGAAGAACAACAAAAAAAAGTTTTCAATAAATTAATCAAAACTTTGAATGAATTGACATTGTTGTGCAATAAATGCATGATTTAATAAATCATTTTAGTCCATGTGTAAGAAACAAAAAATATTGTTTATTAAATGTTATAGTCATAGCTTGCTAATGAAAGTTAACGCTTATAGATGTAATAAGGAAATAAATTTGGTTTTATAAAAAATATCAGTAAGCAAATAAAGCATGTAAATGAAAATTAGCGGGAAATTGATGTTGGCGTTAAAGCCGTCATGTAATAAGTGTAACATTTTAATTATATTTTTATTTGGAAAAACGTAAAATACTTAGGCAAGGAATATTATATAAATCTTTTAAATTTGTGTTCTATAATAAAAAAAAAATGTCCTTTAAAAGTAGACAAGACTTTTAGATCGGTATGCCCAAATAATTTCTGGATATGTCACTGTAAACTGATTTTTTTGAAATTATTATATTTTAGGATCTGATGGTTCAAAAAGGAAACGATCAAGTCGATGGGGTGCCAAAGAAGAAAAGGCAAATATGACTGGTCTTGTTACTTTACCAGCTGATCTTACAGAAGAACAAAGAGTTCATTATTTGGGTATGGATTTTTCTAAATGGAAATACAAGTGTTTTATTTTTCATGCTTGCTATAAAATAATAAAAAAATATTTTTAATTTTAAATATTTTTAATTCGTAAATTTAATTAATAAATAAATCAAAGATTTTATTAAATCAATTTATCTAAATTATATTATATAGAAATAGTTTTAGCTTTATCCATTATATTAGGCAGCCACTGTTACCATTTTTAGATCAAAATCCAATTCAACAATCCTAAGCATTGTCTTTTAAACTATTGTATTATGTCAACAAACTTTTTTTACAGGATGAATTTATTATCACTTTCTTTTTTATTGCCAAATGTGATTTTCTGCCTATCATATGCTCAAATTCAAAACCTATTTTTCTATTGTAAATAATTTAAAATGAATGTTAACTATCTGATTTATTAACTTGATGTACTAGGTCATTGATTTTAATTTTGATATTTATTTTTTCATTCAATTTAAAGCAGTATTAATTAAAAACCTAGTAGAAATATCTAAGATCAAGGAAGAATTTGTTGATCAAACCAATAATTATAAACAAATAATCAGAGATTTGTGTATTTAGCTAATAATATTTCTATTATTAGTAAAAAAAAATTACAATAAATCTTAGTTCATTATGCAGTATTACTTAATGTGTCTAATTATTTTTTCTTTATCATAACATTCTATTTAAAAGCCTGGCCTATTTGAAAATTGTTATTTAGCTTAAATATTTTTTCAAAGTCATTATAATTTTGCTCTTTTTATTCTTTTGATTTACTTTTACAAGATCCTAAATTTTTGTATGAATTTAGTTGTTTGTATAAAAATGTCTGTAATAATACAAAATTTGACTCAGCGTGCAAAATACAATGACCATAAATCTTCAAATATTATCTTAAAAAATGTAAACTTACTTTATACTATATTGTATCAAAAAAGTCATTTTATGTTTAATATTGTAGCAACAATTTCGTATAAAAAGTACTAAATATTACCAGCAGCTTTCTCAAAGTGTTAATCGTGTGGTTTATAAATGTCAATTTGTTATTATTTAATGATCAACAAGTGCTAGTAAATCCATTTAAAACCATACAGATTTCTTTAAAGTTTGCAGGGAAACTGTTATGATTATTTTTAATTTTAGTGATATGGCTGGATTTATGCATATATTCATATTTTGTATGAGCAACAGATTTCAATAAAGCATATTTTTGGCAATTTCTCTTTTCTAATGTTTTTTTAGTTTTTTTTATTTGAAATAATTGTTTTAAAAATATTTTAGCAAAAATGATGTATAAATTATTTAATTTAGGTTGATTACTCTTAAAATAATGTTGTTGTTCGTGTTAAGAGTGAATAGCCATAAATAAGGTTTTAATCTATGGTTAAGATTTTATTTTATTCTTGTAAAATTGTGTCATTTGTATAGTAGCATTAACATCCTTAATTTTTATTATTTCCTTTCAAACTTCTTAATTTTTATTATTTTAATAACATAATTTTTTAAATTTTTGTTTTGTTAAATTTTCAGATAGTGCATGGAAAAAAGCACAAAGCAAGTTACTATTTATTAAACCCTACAGAAAAATATTTTTAAATATTTATCATTGAATATCAAGGTTATTTTGCTAACCTTTTTTAAGATTATTTTAAGTTTTTTGTTTATGTACAATATACATTGGCAATTAAATTGAAAGTAATAATTTTTAATTTTTTCTTGTATAAGCAGTTTCTTAAATGCTTTTATACAATCTTGATGTATTTAGTATTGAAGATAATTGTGTATGTAGAGCTTATTTCCAAAATGTAGACTAAGCAATTTTTTTTTTAAATGTGTTAATTTAAATATAAAAACTTTGACTAACTTAAAAAATAACACATAACTAATAATAACATAATTGTTTAAAGACAAACTTAAAAAAGTTACTACTAAACTAAAAAATCTAAAAAAGAAGTGCACTTTCGTGTGCTTATTGTTTTTTTCATTAAATAATTTCAAGCGGCATATGAAAAAGCTCATACCACATTTTAAAGAATATTCTTCATATACAGGCCTTGGCAGGAGTAAATAAGTGCACAAGTAGTGAAACGCCTGTCTAAAACCAACTTTGCGTGTGACTCGAGATATCTGTGCTTAAAGTGCATGTGCTGGCGATTAGTTTTTTTTTTTTTTTTTTTTTTTTTTTTTTTTTTTTTTTTTTTTTTTTTTTTTTTCTTTAGTGTTTTTTGATATTTAGAAAATGTTGGTGGAAAGAATAAATTATTTCTGATAATAATGTTTTTGTAATACTTTGTACTAAATTAATTCAAATTTAATATAAAACATGAATTAAATAAACTGAACATTTTAGTTTGTTGAGTTTTGATTGGTTGGGTTATATATATTTTATGCTTTTTGCTTTAGTTAAGCATTTTTTGCATTCATTGGATTTTTTTTTTTTTTTAAGTTTAAGTAGGTTTTTTTTGTGTGCATTTTTAAATTTTGAAAACATGTCTAGCGTCAAGGTCAAATCATCGAAACAGTATTTTTTGCTAAATTATTTATCAAATAAATTTTGATGTTTAAAAAAAGTATTGTATTTTGCATGCGCTTTATTTTACTGGTCTAAACTAAATTACATGGGTTGTATGCGGGGGCAGCCAATTGCCAGCCTTTTCTGCTGAGGCCTGATATATTATGTATATGTATGTATATATATAAAACATTTGATGCACACTGATAGTGTTAATACTTAAGTAAGGAGCTGTGGTAGCTACATCAATTAAGATATGGGATTAGGTTGGGTATTGTTTAAATAAGAAATGACTTGCAACCAAAAAGGTTAAATACTATTAATTATAAAGATTATAGAACATTTTTATTTTAGACTCTATTAAGGATTTATGTATGAATTAAAAAGATTTAGTGCCTAATCTTTTATATTCTTTTTGAGAATTTTTTTGTTTTTAGTTTCAAGATTGCTATCAGTATTACTCATTATATATACACATATAGTGTGTGTATATGATATATATCATTTTTAAATAATATTATTTCAGAGCATTTTTTAAATTAACATATTTTTTGCTGTATTCATACATACTATGCAAGCTTTATTCATTATTCATCAAATTGTTTCAGTAATATTTAATTTGTTTATTTATAAGTTACATGCACATTTACACACACATAACATACACATAATAAACTTGTCTAATTGGTATTTTTACTTTTAAACTATCAAATGTTTGTTTGTTTTTGTAACATAGTTATAGTGTATAGAAAACAGGTTAAAAGAATCTCATTTTCTGAAAATAAAGGTTTTTTAAATGATGGCTATTTTTCTATTTTTATTGGAGTGGTTTTCATGTGGTTTTTTATAGAAAATATTCTGAAATAATTAGATGGAACGAAGTAATGAGTATCTAGGTATTATGATAAAATTTACTTGGCTGGAGAGCTAAATGCTTGTCGATCTTAAACAAACAAGCATGCATATAATTTTGTTTGTTTTAGTATATTATAACAATTTGTAAAATTTGTAATGCTTGTATTTTTGCTTGTTTAAGCCCTTCCTGGTTGCAGGGTAATGTAGGTCGACAAACATTAGCAAAAATGGTTGACTATATTGTTGTAAATGTATTTGAATTATGTATATTTTTTGCCTTAGTCCAATTTAAGATTGAAGAAATATCTCAAAAGCTACGTACAGGGGACCTCGGTATTCCCGCTGATCCTGGCGCAAGGTTGGTTTCAACAAAAACGAGGCTGTTGACAACAACATAATGCTTCATTTGTATTTAATTTTATTCAGCCAAAGTGAACATGGCTGGATCTATGGTTCTCTGATATTTCATAAAATAAGCATGATTATTTAAATTTTCTAATAAAAGAAACTCTTTTTAAAAGAATATTTTATTTATGTCATTGCTATTAATTTTTGTAAACCTTGAGATTCTCAAGATTAAAAAGTAAGTAGGTTTATGTATTTATTTAATGCCTTCACTCAAGTTCAAGAATTGAAGCGGTTCTTTGTATTTTCTAAGAACTAATATTTATCTTTGCATATTGTGAACTAAAGTGAAGTACACTTACTATTTTTAATATTTTGTTAATTTCTAATTTTATTATAGCTCTAACCTCTATATCTTTTTTTTTATCTAGCTTTTAATAACTGTTATGATAAATATATATGGTGTTAACTTTTTTAGTGGTAGTAATTTTAGCTTTCTTATTATTATTTTTTCTTTTTAAAGGTCTCCTTCACCTGAGCCAATATACAACTCAGAAGGTAAGAGGCTAAACACAAGAGAATATCGTGTTCGCAAACAGCTTGAAGAAGAGCGTCATACTCTCATCAAAAAAGCAATTGAAGAAATACCTAATTACAAGCCTCCATTAGATTACAAGTACTTATACAACTTTTGTTATAAAATATTGTTTGTAAAGCTCAAAAATTTTTGTAAGTTGAAGTAATAACTAATTTTAAATATTTATTTTTATCATCATGTTGTAGAGCTCCTACTTCAAAGATTCAAGATAAAGTTTTTATACCAGCTGAAAGAAATCCTGCTGTAAATTTTATTGGATTATTAATTGGTCCTAGGTATAGTTATTATTATGCATATATTTTGTATATTTATGAATGTATGTTTTGTTGTTTGCTATGATGCCTTAAATCAAAATCTCTTACATTTCTGTGATTATAAAATCAACTGAGCAAGCATTTTAATTATTCATTAGGCCTTAAATTATTATCATTTCAAAAAGTAATAATTATTTTTTATTTATAGGGGAAACACACTCAGGCGTTTAGAGAAAGAGGTAAAATAGTGTAAATTTATTATTTTATCCTTATATTTTTTTAATATATTATTGTCAAAAGAAACTTTTGTAGCTGGAATTAAAGTTCCAAAATGGACTCTTAAGGATTTCAAGTCACTATTTTCTTCTGGCTTCTGGTGTATAGGAGCAAAATGTTGAAATAGAAAAATACCAGGTGGTTTATGTCATAAATATCATTTTTTTTCTGAGGGGAGCTTTAGTTTAACAATTAATTGTTTTTTTTGTTCCATATATATCCTGATTTCCCAATTATTCTTTACAATTTTTAGTTTGCAAAATAAATAAAAAACTATTGTAGTTAATCTATATCAATACTATTGTATTGTAATTTAATTTAATCAGCTAAAAAATGAACATCTGTGTCAAACTCCAGTCAAGTAATTATTACAAAGGTATTAAAATTTTTGTAAATTAATTGCATTTAAGTATTATAAGTTTGAATTATAGGTGCTTTTTTAAATCAAATATTGTTCAGATTAATTTTTTTTTACAATGTTTTTGTAGAAGCTGTTGATGAAAATGACGCGCTAATCTCGAGTCTAATTTTGCCGCTTGACTACAAGCACTGTGTAGATATTTATCTACTCTTTCAGGCAATGGCTGTGATGATAGCAGACATTTCTGAAGTGTTCTAATTTAAAAGTTCAATGAGTGGGGTGTTAAATTTATATATAAGAATAAATATGGGTTTAACTGCTCATGAAATATGATTAATTTTGTCACTTATCAGGCATAGTCATCCATGAGGATTTCAGTACTTAAATAAAATAGTCTATTTTATAAAAAGATTTTCAGCTAATATGGAAACCAAAGAAAATACTATAATAATAGTAAACAAAGATTTAAAGTCATGTTTTTTTTTTGTTATAAAGTTCAGTAGTTTAAAAGTATTAACAGCATTTATTAATAACTTCTTAATTTGTTATGATTTTTGAAGTCGCTATAAATGCAATATAAAATGATCAGCTCAATAATATAATGAAATAAACTTGAATTATAACTTTATTTGAATTGATATACAAAACAATGTAAAGGGTTATTCATAAATTATGTCCCGCTATAAGTGGGAGGGGGTTGGTGGTTTTGTTGCGAATCATACAAAACTTGCTTCTTAAGTGTTACAATTTTGTGACAAGGGGGCAAAGTCAAAAATGGTCAAAACTAGCATAATGTAATTTTTCTGGATGACCCCTAATTTACTTAATTTAAATAATTTTTTTGTGAATATCTGCTATACATAAAAAATGTTTATAATTTTTTTTAATTAACTAATTATATTTTAATTAAATCTTTAAATTTTACACTTATCAATAATAAACAACTTGCACATTTAATATAGCAAATTACAAATAATTGATTTTAGACTTTATTTGTACATTAGGAACAAAGTACATAGGTATAAATTGGTAGTTATGCATTTTGTATGCATGGAAGTGATTGCTTTTGCACTTCCTAATAACATTTTCTTGATAAATCAATATGATGTTACAAACAGTGCTAAAGCAATTTTCAATGGATGAAAATATATGTTGTAATAATTGCAGCATATAAATAACATTAGATACAAATATTCTCATTTTTTATTGAAGTTTTGTCAAAAATCTTTTATTTCAGAGTTTAATAGGTTTGCTTAAAATATTTAGACTGGATGTAAAATTATAATTCGTGGCAAAGGATCAGTGAAAGAAGGAAAAGTTGGTAGAATTCCTGGCCAATTGATGCCAGGTGAAGATGAACCTTTACATGCACTTATAACTGGCCCTTCTGAAAAAGAAGTTCGAAAAGGTGTCGAAGTTGTTGCAGCTATTGTTAAGGAAGGTGTCGAATGTCCAGATGCTGCTAATGAACTTAGAAGAAACCAGCTAAGAGAATTAGCTGAGCTTAATGGCACCTTAATTGACGAAGAGTTAATTAAGTATGTTTTATAATTTTGTTTCTAGATATTTAGATATTTTAATTCGCAATGCTGGTTGTTTATTTATGTGTAAAATACTGTAATTGCATATTTTTTTATCCTTATGTTATAGGTGTAAAAACTGTGGCGCTACAGACCATAAACATTGGGAATGTCAAGAGCAAAGAAATGTTACAGCATTAATTAGCTGTCATAATTGTGGTGGATATGGTCATGTTGCTGCTGATTGTAAAATAAAGCAGTAAGTGAAAAGGTTTCAAGGGGCTATTAAAATTTTGACCATGTTAAATTTTAATATGGTCTAAAAATAAAATATGGTCTAAATTAAAAAATTATTAAAAAGTAATTTAATGTATTTAGCGATGTTAATTCTGGGCCAATGCAAACATTTGCAGAAAAAGCTAAAATGGATACAGAGGTAAGAGTTGTTAAAGTTATTTGTATTTTTTTTATTGTTTAAGATTATAAGTTATGTAATAGTTATTTTTTTTATTTCTTTTTAGTATATGTCTTTAATGGCTGAATTAGGCGTTGAAGGTCCACCAGCTAAAAAAGAACCACCAAAACTTCCAGTAATTTACATATTTTGCATTTATTTTGTAGTATTTTATTTTTTCTTTTTGTAGTAGCTTATGAGTATTTTTTTACTTTTTCAGGATCCTTCTAAAGAACACTATGATACTAGAAGTAAATGGGGTCCTCCTGCTGGAAATAATCCTAAATCAATTGGAGACATTCAAACTAATAATCTAATTACAACTGCTATCAACTCCCAATTTCGTGTTCCTCAACCAGGTGTTCAAGCCAATCAGTCTTCTGTTCCACCACCTTGGGTTAATCAACAATATCCTATTCAGCAAAACAGGCCATTTACTGTTGCTCCTCCTTGGCAACAAAGTTTACCTCGTGGTGGTTAGTTTTTGTTTTACACTTTAATTTCTAATTAACTTCTTTTTCAACTAATTTTTTAATAAAATAAGATATTGAAAGATTTGACCAACGATATTTATTTGACCTTATTTAATGTTAATATAATTATAAAATATATATAAAAATAAGTTTAAATTAGTTTAAATTAAATAAAAATTTTATGTAATTATTATGATATTGATAGTATTTTTTTTTTTTTTTACAAAACAGTTTTTTAATAAAACAAGCTATGTAAAATAATATACATTTTATCAGACTAGAAAACGTTTACGCTTTGCGTAAATAAAAGTTGGTATTAAGCTTAGGATCGGATTAATTGCTTTAGATTGTGAAAAATGGTGCAGCAGGTTGTTTGTTTGTAGTTTTGATATTTATGGTTATTATAATTTTTTTCTTAATTTAATTATTAAGAGTAAATTATTTTTCAGGTCCTTCAGTTAGTCGTTTTAGCGCTCCACTGCCTGGCTATGGATTGCCTGCAGTTGCCCCTGTTGGTGGTATGATTACCGGTTATCCTCAGATAGGTTGGCAGCAGCAAATGTATGGTACTTACAATCCTTATCAACAGCCACCTGCGCCTCCTTCTACTAATCCGCCTGCACCGTATGCTGTTCCGCCTCCTCCTTGGGTATGCCTTAGAAACATCTTTTAAAAACAAGCTTAAAATCTTGTTTTATTACATAATGATTGTTATTGTAATCATTTAATTGATATTTAGACGCAACAACCTCCTCCACCGCCACCACCACCTCCTCCATCAAGTTGAAGGATGACGGAGACCACGTATTTATTTAAGAATGATTTCGTTAACAAATTAACTTAATTTTAAGTTATACCTGTTCTATTGACGATCAGTGACCGTTACGCTACGCAAGTTTGAGTTTGTTTTTAAAATTTTGTTTCTGATATCCTCACAAAAATAAAACCGTTGAAATGCATCACATTTAAGAAACCTGTAGATCATTAACATGCCATACCCACGTAGAATCCCCCATCGTTAAGATTACAGTAATTAAGAAAAAACTGCTTTCTCGTTTTTATGCGACGAATGTGAGCTAAACTCCGATTCAAATTTTGAATTCGTTGCTTTTTAAATGTTTTTACACCAACTTTATTACTTGAACAAAACTTTCATTTGAAAACAAAATTAAGTGGTATATATAGCAAAAAATTTCGTGGTAAAAAGAAATTTGGAATAATGGCGTTCTCATATGACGTTGCAAGAAATGAAAATTCATCTGTCCTTATTTCCTCCTTTTAAAACCTTGTGGAGAATTGACTATTTATCGATAAGAAAAGCAATTTTTTAATGAATTAAAAATCTTATTAATATA